GCCACCGGCGTTCTTTCGTGCCTTCGACCCGCCAGGCCATGCAGGTATCGAACTGGTTTTCTTGGTGACTCCCAGCCATCCGGTTCCAGAAAGCTTTTTGGATCCTTTCATATATATAGTTGATTTAGTGGTTGGAGTTCCGAGTTTAACCCGCCAAAGTTAAACTTTTACTTCAGACGGCCTTAAAGGCTTGGTCGCCTTAGTCGCCGTGCTCTCTCCCGAAGGAATGTCGACCGTGAAAAGGAGTCAGGGCTTTTCTTTGCTCATCGAAGCTTTATTCAGGCAGCACCCAAAAAAAGCGCGGCCGGGCCATCGGTGACTAAACTCGACCGAAGCATGATACCTGGGCAAGTGTCTACTGACCCCTCGGAGTTTGCATCCTCGCCTTTCATGATGGTATTGTTTTGGAGTTTCATATTTTGGGTTGACTAGTCATACTTCCCCCAGATCATGTTGCCTCTCAAAATGTTGACTCCCTATTATCAACCCCAAGTTCATTCATAGGTGGGCGTCCCTGGGTTTAGTGGGGGCTCATCACTGTTGGATACTTTTGGAGGGGAAACACCCCCCCAATTAATAAACCGGGGTTTATTTATTTATTTATCCGGGGTCAAATTACATCTCAAGGTTGAATTGTTTGCCTGGCCTGCAGGTTAAGGCAAGCCTAAAGCTTGTCTCCCTTCAATCTGGTAAAATTGTAGCCTAAAGCTTCTGGATCGCAACTTTTCCGTTCAGAACCCACTTTCCACAGCAAACCGCAAGTCTTTCAGCTTGCCTGAGCTATCAATCACTTCGCTGGGAAAGCTGACTCTGTACATGCGTCTGTGTGAGTTCCACCCTCCCCCTTGCAGCGGAAGGGGTTGGCGATAAGGTAGTGGTGTGTATCTTTTCTATTGGAACCCTCAAGATGTGTAAGTTTCCTCTAAATTTCCCTTGAACAACCGCAAAAGCCCAAAAAGGACACGCGAATCAACCAGTTGCCATTGACAGTGCTTTTGGAGGGTCAGATTCTTGCTTTTGGCATGGCGAGTCAAGGGGATCACCAGAACGGGTGAGCAACTGGGCCTTTGAGCGGTTTCACTGCCAGTCGCTCCAAATGCCTCGTCAGTTGCGTTGGCAAAAAGCGAGGCTGCGACAGAGTTCGAGCGGCGGTATCATAGCAGAATGTGGGCCTTCTTTAATGTGACTCCCCCGCCTTGAACGGTGCCAACAGTCGCGGGGACAGGACCCTCTTTGGTGGAAAGGGGGGGGGGTCTGGGTGAAAATTGAAATTGCGCTAGTTTAGTATTGTGAATTCTAAACTTAGTATTGCCAAGCCCTGCTCGCAGATTCCACCTACTGAATCGTATTGCGAAGAGTATATCCAGTATTGCCAAGACTCACTTTCAGATTCCCAGTACCTAGTTTAGCATTGCGAATTTCGAAATTTAGTGTTGCCAAGACTTACTCTCATATTTCCAGTACAGGGTTGAGTATGGCCTAGTCTAGCTAAATTAGTAGTGCCAACATTTACTTTCAAATTCCGAGTACCCCATTCAATATTGCCAGAATTATGAGTTGTGTCTTGTCATATTTTCCCCACCCCAAAAAAGCCCGACAGTAAAGAAGACCCTCACACAGTCACATAATACAGAATCTCGTTTGCTCCCGTGGGTCCCCCTTGTGCCGTTGTGTGACTGATTTGGGGACCGCTTGCAAATTAATTTGCCTAGATCTAAGAACTGTGAGCCTTTGAGACAGATGAGCCACCCTTTGAAAGTCTTTCATTTTTTTTGTCTTTTTGCCCCGATGTTCTCGTGTTGTTTTCTGTATTTTTAGGTGTGTTTTTCCCTGGGGGGGGGGGAACTTGCTATTATTGAAGACCCCAAACAGTCGCAGGATATATCGGTTTTGTGTAGACTCCGCGTTTTACCAGACGCTAACTTAGGAAAAACAATCCCAGAAGAATGTAGTTGTTTTTTGAAGGAGACTTAGATTTCACGGCTTGTGAGTCGAGCATAGCAACTCGTCGTTTGTGAATCTGTGGGAGCCGCAGGTGTTGGCCGATTCCCCGGTGTTTGGTTTCCCTACGCCGTGAATGAAGAATTTGGCCGCTGGAAGCTTTGCTCTTCCTCCCACTAACATGGCACCTGTGGGAGGGTACCTGGAAGATCAGTTTCCTCTTGGAGGGACTCCCTGTGAGCTGCCATGTTCGTGGGAGGGAGGGTACTACATTTGTGTACTTTCCCTTCTTCCGTTCCCACGAGAAGCAGATGTTCACGCTTTGCACTAAAATCAAGTTAGAAAGGACATATTTTTGGTGTTAAAGGGAAAACCAAACAACGCCATTGTTATCATTTTGGTTGGGGGGGGCGTGGGGTGCGAATCCCTGTTTTAGGACAAACCCATTTACTGTTCGGGGTTTCTACGGGTTACATGGGTTTGCCTTGGGGCTCGGTACCTCTGAGCTTCCTTAGAGCAACAAAGGGGTTCAACGTATTCCACCGTGTTCCCTGTGTCCCAAAAATCGTTGAAAAACATTGAGGGTTCCTGAAAAATGTTGGGGAGAGCCTCTAAATTGAAAGTGTAACGTTCTTTGATGTTCATTCAAAAGCAAAGGCGCAGCGGTGTCACATTGACACACTTCCCGAATTAGACACTGTCCGTTGAAATATTCCTAAGACAAGTTTCTTTGCTTTAACATTGCACCTTATTTGTGTTCCCCGAAATGCAACCAATGGGGTCTTCTATTGACACAAGGAAGGTTTCCGAATTGCTTTTGGAAGCACTCTTTGCTGGTCCCCTATCTTGTTTCCTATTTGGTTGGGTCCTGCACCTTCTTGGGCAAACATGTGGGTATGGGTCAAAATAAAACCACCAGGGGACCGCAGGTTTTAATCTTTCGTTCCATTTACCAGGGTTCCATTTTGGGTGTGCATGTTTAACCCATAGTCATGTATGTTCCTAGCCTAACAAGTGTTCTTTTTGGCCCTTCCCTACCCTATAAGGTTCCCACAATTGGCGATTTGGATTATTTCAACCCCCCGCTCTTGAAGGGTTTTCTGGCAAGCCACCCCCCCCCCCCCCCCCTAACCATCACCACGGGGGACCAAAGAGTCAACGTGTCCACCATGTCCCTTTTTGGAGCCTCCAAAAGTGGCGATCGTTTTCAATGGACACCACTAGCAAATGGATCCACTTTTTCGGGAAAATCCCTTCGTGATCCCGCCTCATTTCTGTGGGAAGCAACACAACAAAACGTTTGCCCGGGCCGTTTTTTCTCGCCAGCACGTTCCGCTCGATCGAGTCGAGTTTCGGAGTTTCGCGTCGCTCGCGAGCGCTGAGATCCAACTTCTGGAGCTGGGCCAAGACAAGTCCGCCCTCTCGGCCCGGAAACTCGGCGCGGCGCCGGCTCCCGCGCGCTGCGCACGCTGCGCCGGGGCCCGGGCCCGGGCCCGGATGTGTCATGGTGAAGGGTCAGGTAGCTGCACGCATGTGCTGAATCATATCCAGCTACAGGCAGGAATTGGTACGTACGGAGAAGCACCCATCTTTTTCTTGGTTTAGTTCGATCAATCCCCACCTTAGACATTTAACTGGTCAAGGCTCAGTAGACGAACGCTTTTGCTCCCGCGCAGATGAAACTGCCAGCTTGCTTGTCTTCAAGAGTTTGGCTTGCTTGCGCATCTTATCTCTTTTAGCCAACGCAGCATTGCCGCAGAACACTAGGGCGCTCCAGACCAGACCGCTCCAAAAAGAGAAGCCCCGGCTACAAGTGTGACTACTTCCCCCAGCTAAGTGCCATTTTTGTACCCATTTTTTTGGTTGGGAGGGTTCCCCTACTAAAATAGACGACAAACAAAAGTTGTTTTTCCCTTATTCTAACCTCTCTACTGGAGGACCTTGGTGAAGCAACCAAGCTTACTGACGCTCCGTTCACGGCGGCCGAGGGCACGGCAAACTTCAAATCTGGGTACCTGGAGTCTCCATGACCCAAATCAAAAATGGGTCAATGACCAACCATTATTTTGGGTGACCAACCTTTCTTTTTTTTTTTGGTTTTTTTTTTTCCCGGGTCATGGACACTCCAGGTATGGGTCAAACTTCAAAGCACCCCAAAGCCGCAGGTTTTTGTCCATGCCCTCCATTTACAAGGGCTGAATTGTTTGGGGTATCAGCCTATTTTGGACCACAGCCACCGCACGAATCGCATGGGCGTGAGCTGAGGTGCGATGTCTAGCGCTATCGGCTGAGCTCGAGCGGCAGGCAGGTGGAGCAATTTGTTCGTTCGCTGTCGCATCGAGAAGATGCGTTGTGTGCTCGGTTCCTCGGTGGGTTTGGTATGACTTGCAGAGTACGGTTACTTTGTGGCGTCGTTCTGTTGTTTCTTTGTTTGTTTGCTTGTTTGTTGGCTGGCTGGCTGGCTTGCTTGTTTGTTAGCTTGTTACATAGCTATAATTCTAATGTTGTTCCCACACGTGTTTCACAACCTCTTTGAGCGGCGCCGTGAAGTTCACGGACGTAGGCCAGGAGTAGAATGCCATCAATCCGTGGCAGCCTTGACCAAACCGTGTGAATTCCAAAGGGTCCAAGTACCTCCTGAGGATGGCTTTTGGGGGGTAAAACGGGGTCCAAGTACCTCCTTAGAAGGTACCAAGGGATCCTCTGGGAATGCGGGATCTACGCTTCAGCCACGTGAGTGAACGCCAGCGCAAACGGTGACACGAAAATTTTCTCCACGCTGGGAGCGGGCAAGCGCCGACGTCGAGCTTCGAAACTCGACCGTGAGACGATCCTTGGCCAATCCTGAGCTTTGAGATTTTCACGCACTACCATGGGGCCGAACATCCGAAAATATGTGGGTGCGTCCGTTTTTGAGGGAGGCCAGAGGCCACTTTTAGGGTTGGTTCAAAGGGAAGCCGAAAGGATACGACGACCTGCTTTTTTGGGGTCACCATTTTGAGACACATCCTGAATCCTTACTACATGTTTTGGGGTAGACTAAATATGAAACAAATTCA